GTTTGTCAAACTTCTTCAGGTCTGACAATTTGTATGACCGGTTTATTGCTATTGTGTTTACATTTTATCATATATGCATGTTACTATTGTTATTGTGACAATATAACCAGAACTAATTCACTTCTTTTAAAACATTATTCAATAGATGATGAATGATCAGCTAATTTTCTCTTCTTTATCTTTAATTTCATGCGTGACTACCATATTTGACCAAAACTTATAGACATACAAAACTGGAACATAGCCGAAGGGCAATATGACATTAGCCAACTGTTTAACAAGAGTGCATAAAGAGAATTGAAGGGCTGGAACATGAAATATACACTTACTTGGAATGTGACAAATCCAAAGGTATCTTTAATGAATCATTTACTTTTTCATAAAGTTTTCTTTTCTAAATGCTCCGTCAATACTCTTCAGGTGTCTGGTGATATCTAATTGATTTTCATTTTCAACTTCAGAGACTGGATTGTAGTGGAAGGTATTTCAGGAGAAGGATTGGCGTACATAATGCCCACCTAAAGTATTTCGGTATCGCAAGGCAGCTGAAAAAAACGTGATTCCACATCAACGCCAGCAACAAGACGGAAGAAAAAGAAGAAGACATTGGCCAAACCAGAAGTGTGGGAGATACATCCTGGATGATGAAAGCTTGGGACTGCCTTACTGGAGTCGATCAATCATCATCATGAGGTTTAGTTGAAACTACATATATTACCCAAAACTTTTTGAGTTTTTACGCTCCTTCAAAAAGCTTTCGTTACACTTGGTAGAAATCCTATGGCACCCTTCAATCCTACCAAAAATATCACTTTTTCATCAAATAAAGGTCACGTGTAAACCATTATCTGGGTTAAGATAATGTTTTGTACGTGTAATGTATACATGTCAGAGAGGAAAAATTCATATGTTTAATACTTCTAAAAGTGTGCACTGAAATGTATTTTAAACAAAAATTGGCTTTTTCGCATCATTTTTGATGGATGGCTGAGTTCTAACCTACTATGTATGTTAATGAAATTTGAAATTGTTACAAATATAGAGCATATACTCAAAGGGCCTGGGGGGCAGTACCCTGAAATTGCCCCAATGGCTTTTGTATGAAAGTGTCCTTTTTTTTTTTCTTCACATATGCAGCTTTCTTTTGACCAATATATCTTATGTTAATCAGATTTTAAAGTCTTGCAAATAGGGTACATGCACATTGCCCATCTTGGGTCTTAATGGATGTCCGTAAGTTTAATTTTTAACCAAATCGAGATCAATGCTGCCATGATTCTCTTTTTATTTAAAGAGGTGAAAGGTGAAGACAAAGCAATGCCTTATCTGCCTACTTTATACTACATTTCTACCTAACTTTTCGAAATATTGCATTTTCTGACTATTTTTGTGTGTATGCATGCCCCTTGTCGGTAAGAGTTTACTTGAAAAATTCCTATTCAAAAGATATTTTGATTTTTGTAATGATAGACCCTAAAAGGGACGTTTTACAGCACAATACATTTGTATTTCAGTTAACCAAAACTAATTTAATGTGTTTTAAACCACATGAGTAATACACCGGGTAATAGTATATTTGTAAAGCGCTTAGAGACATTTGTATAAGCGCTATATAAACAAATTATTATTATTAGTATTATTATTAAGGGATATTCAATCCTCATTTGTTAGTCTTCTGTGATTTTATAAGCCATTTTTTTACTACTTGCTGCAAACTTTCTCTGATCAATGGCAATTTCATTAATTACAAAAATCCCTATTTTTACACTGCTGATGATTTGCATTTTTCTTACCTTCTTTTTTGCAGGGGAATGAGCATGGAAAGAGGAGTAGCAGTCAAACAGACAACACGAGTAGCAAGGGGGCCTAGCATGGGTATTAAAATGGTCTGGGCAGTTTCTATACCGCATGCCATCAAAGGTGGTGCATGTGTGGAGGCATTATGTGTTTTCATGTTGTCTGTTTATCCATCTGTTCGCCCATCCATCCCACATACTGTGTTATTGTGATGTCTCAGCAACCATTTGAGATATGAACTTTTATCAAAATGGGTTCTAACTTATATAATCTAGGCAATCACCATTGGTCAAATGACACCACGTGACCGCGTTCAATTTTTTTTCTCCTAACACACTGTAACCAAAAAGATAACCATGCAATATACCTAACAGTGATAAATCACGGCTTAGCCACTGGTACATGTATGTTGCCAATTCAGTGGGTGCTATACATAATGCTTGTTTTCCTTTAGGTTATTCGTGGTTTCAGATCCAATAATATAGCAATAACAAAAGCATGCTCTTTCTGCTCATGCATCTGTTTAGGGCTCGCTCTGAAGCAAATTTTAATAAATCAAGTCACAAATGCATGCAGTTGTCCTTAATGTCAAAATAAACTTTTCAGTGAATTCTTCAATGGTCAATTAATTGCCTTCAAAGTAGCAAACTCAAAGGGTTCAGGTTCAACTCACATTACAAGCTTATGCTCTTTAATAAAGTAGAAGTCCACCCTGATATTTAGATGGTGTTTATACAAGCAGAAAAATGAAAGAAACAAAATAGTTGATGAAGTTTAGGCAATATTCATTTGAAGATAAGAAAGTTATGTATTGTAAAACACTTAATCACAGAAATCCAAATAGGCAACCATATGATATATATCTTATATATCCCATTTAATCTGTACCATTTTCAACCCCCTTCATTTTCTTAGTTACATACAATAAATGAAAGAAAAATTTGTTTTCCTTCAGGTCATGCGCAAAAACATATTTGCAATGATTATATTTAGGGTGCAGTTATTATTTTCAAGTTATTTTATGGATTTAGAAAAAAAATCAATACTCACTAGGTGTATCACAAACTTTTCAATTTGCGTCTGATGAGAATGCCAAGTTAACAATTCATAACGTCCATAATTTTAATTGGATTCTGCTAAAACTTTCACTGATCTGTGTCTTTATTTTTTTTTTTTTTTTTTTCCATTTCAATTTTTTTTTTAAATATATATCAGAGTGTACTTCCCTTTGAGTGTGAGCTTGGTATTCAGTTCTCTCTTTCATCAGTCCTTTCTTGATTATCCCACTGATATCTTGGGCTAGGTGTCGATGGAAAAGCATGTTATCCTAATATAAAGCTGCATGTAAGAATATTTAGTAAACTAAATGTTGGAATGTTATTAAAAAAAGAAAAATCTCTTGCTTCTAACAATTTTTTACATTAAGGTAAACGGTGTAACAACTTTGGAATTGTTTTTTTTTTCAGTTTAGCTTTCCTAACACTACATTATCTTGATCAACAATAAGAACATTAACAGCTGATTATTTAAGCTGCTGTTGTGTCTGGCTTTCAGATGACAACAAATAAAGTTGAGATCAGGAATCCTGTTGTGGAACAAGGATGTGGCAGCTACCTATTTCTGATGATCAGAACTGTGTTCCAGAGGAGGGCCCTATAATCATCAGGCAGAAGCTGGATGACCTCCATGCCAGATGTGAACAGGTATACATGTAGAATGATAGATTAGCATATCTTTGTTAATGATAATTATATGAGATATGAGTCTTATGGAAGTATAACAGAAATATGAAAGTAATGTGAAAATTAGGCAGTATTGCTTGCATACATAAACCATTTATTAATATTCCCTGAATTCTCCCTTTCTGTTATCTAAGGATCATGACAAGCGATTGTCCAGTATGAAAGACAAACTGAGTGACTTTGAGAGTGCCCTGAATGGTTTAGAAGTTTGGCTCCTTCCTAAGATTTCTCGGGTGGAATCCATGGAATTCATGACCCAGGATTTAATTCAGATTAGTGATGCCGAAATACAGGTATGAATATTGAAAGAGTTGTAATAAATGGGTATCTCATGGTCAGAGAAACCCTAATAAAATAGTTGACTGTTAAAGACTAAGTCCACCAAAAAAATAATTTGCATTTAATCGATGCAGAAAAACAAGAGAAACAGAGCAAAAGAAAGTTATGATTTTTTTTTATAATATGAAAAACTATGGAACAATGGAAATCACTACACAAATTGCCAATTTGTTTATCAGTTCGTGACGTCATGTCCTCACTATTTAAACATTGCTATATATATTTTTTAATACCATAAATTTCCCTTTTTATCCCCCCAAACTCGATTTCCCCATGCCTTTTTCCCAGGTTAAATTATTTGTATGGTATTGTTTGCATGACATTTTACAAAATCTTTGAACTTTGAAGAATGATACTATTTTCTCATCTGGATATTGTATATTCATAATTATTGAATTTTATATAAATAGTTTTGTCATGATTTAACTGAAAAAACAATTACTCTATATTTGTGCCCCCACACAAAAACATATTACTATTAATATAACTTGGATGCTGGTGTGAAGAAATAAGATTCTTAGTGGGGAAATGGAAAATTTATATTATCAATATAATGAAAACAATTAGTGGATAGTGAGGAATGATGTCACAGACTCAATAGTGAGTTGCCACTTTGTCTGTGATTTTCAAAGTTTTTCATGTCATTAAAATTCATAACTTTCTTATTGCTTATCCGATTTTGCTCAAACTTTTTTTTGATTGGTTTGTCTGATTTTTCTGCTTCCATTGAAAGTAAGTTATTTTGGGGATGGACTTGCCCTTTAAGTGATGTGTGTTGATTGCTTCAATGCTGCATGGTGTACAGCAATAAAGATATTTAAAAGAAACGTGTTAACAAAATTAATTTGTTTATCTTTTATTTTTTAGGTGAAGTTGTTAATGGGAACTAGAAGTTAGCACAAGTGCTAGACGAGCCTAGTTCCATTCTTTGGCAAGATTTTTTTCTGTTAACATGAGATCCCAAGTAATGAAAAAGTTATCTCTGTTTGCAATTAATTCACTTAATAATAACATAGGAATAATGGATTGAAAAGGATTTAACTTGCTGCCCTGTACAGCTGTTCTTGTATTTTAGAATTAGAATGTTGATTGTAGAAAAAATTAACAAAGGAAAAAAAATCAAGTCTGTTTGTTCACTACTTAAATTTCAATTTTTTTTAAAGTGTTATGCAACTGTTTTCTGCTTTGAATGCATTTTCAATCAGCACTGTCGGCAAGAGATTGACGATCACTCCTGTGAATACAACATGATCCACAACATGCTGAAGAGCTCCTGAAACATCCCGAAGCAATGGACATTGCCAAAGTCAAGACTATGCTCAAGAACTGTGAACTCAACTGGGAAACACTAAAAAATACTCTTAAAAAAAGTAAGTGAAATGTCTTTCTCTTGTATCCAATTCTAATTGTTCAGTATTACCATGATACATGATCAGACAAGCATGCATATACTATTGGTGTTTTTTTTTAAATACAGAACTGACCAGTATGACAGGAAGCAAGCTGTATCCAAGAAGTGCAATGCGTCGGACAGCGAGACGATGGGATGGATTGAAAGCCAGCTGAGGAAGATCGATCATATGAGCCTAGCAGTCACTAAAAATGTTGAACAGCTTAAAACGCAATTTCATGAGATCAAGGTACAGTCAAGCCTGCTTTAGTTACTACCTGTTCATAAATGGCACCTCTTCTTCCTTCTTATCTGTGTTCATGCTTAATTCTTGATGATTTTTTCTCAATCTGGAAGCCTTCCAAATGAGAAGTGCACACATCAAACACATTTAGGGAAGACAGCACTTAATGTCATGCAATCATGTTTCCTTCACATTTCACATTTCTACTAAATAATTGATAATGTGAAATGATTGTGATGATATAAAGCATTATATATTTTAGATAGATAGATAGATATATATACAAATTAAAGATACTATAATATTGATATGATATTCAGTGCTTCAGATTCAAACTGAAATGGGGATGGTTTTATATTATTTTGTCAATCCATGTGATGATATGATTTTATTTGTCCTAAATTTGGTTATACAGACTCTGCGTGATGATGTTGTCCTACATTTCAAGGAGGTAGAGAACACCGGGGATACTGTTAATGAACCACAGGAAGTTCAAGAGGAACTGCATCAGGAGGTCACACACAATGTCACCACATCACCAACCGCTACGACAACCTGAATGGAAAGATTGACGCGCTTCTGTACGAGCTCCAGGATGCCCTGGCCAATAGCACCAGTGTCCAAGAGAACATGGACATGCTGCTGAAACGGCTTGATGAGTCTGAACGCAATGTTCACCATATGATAGAGAAGGGGACCTTGATTGCTGTGAAGCAGGATCAACTTCTTGAGAATCTGCAGGAGCAAAAGGTCAGAGCGTTTCTTATTTGTGGGGTGCTTTTTGTGTTGCTTTGGTTTAATGAAAGAGACTTAAAGGTAGAGATTAGAAATTAAGAGAGAACAATATTAAAAGAGAAAGATAAATATATATACAGAGAGAGGGAGATAGATAGAGAGGGGGAGATAGAAAGAGAGAGAGAAAGGCTGCAAAGATGTATGTATTCACAAGATTGAGAGATATATATTGAAGCTGTTATTTCCTAGAATATTTCAGGATTGGAAAATAATATACATACTTAAGTGTAGTTGAAAGTAAGTGGAAATACTAACTAGCACTGCCCAAAAAGCAAGACAGGCTCTGTTTTCATACGCATCTTCTTTCATATCAACTGATAGAAATTGGGTAATGTTGTTTAGGTTGTCAGAGCTAGATTCTGGTTGGTACAGAAGTTAGAGTCCATTGTTGTATAAGCTGGTGGGTGAAAGGCAGTGAATTTAATTAGATATGTGTTCTTTCTTTTTGCTAGTCCTGCTTGCTGGATGCTGGTATATATTAATTTCTATAGATTTCCAGAGATATTTACAGATTTCAACTCCGTTTGCTCACAGGTCATCATGTCCGACATTGTGAACCACCAAACAGCCTTTGATGCTGCAACATCCCAAGCCTCTCTGCTCATCCAATCCAGTGAACCTCAGGAGGCATGCCAGTTACAGGCTGACTTAGACTCCATAAATGAGCGATACACCAAGTTGGACACTAGGACCAAGGACCACGGCATCTATCTTGAGAACCTGAGCCGCAGACTATCCAATTTTGAGGCCGAGTTGGAGAATCTGGAGCATTGGCTGTTGCCCTCTGGTCATGAACTAGATTCTAACCAGATCCCACAGCTACCTCTCATTGAGTTTGTCAATAATTGGAGGTAGGTTTTAGGAAAAGGGTGCCTGCATGTGTTTATTCTTTTTTGTTAGGTTATTTTCTTTTCATTAAAAAATTATTTTAGGCAAAATTGGAGATACGGTTGTTTTGAATGAAGTCCTTTATTGACATTGCAAACACTAATACAAATGAAAATGATTAAAATGGATTTCAAATCTTTTATATTCTACAGTTAAACTTCTCATGAATTTATTTGTTATTCAACTATTTTTGTCATTGTCTTTAAAGATGAAGTTAAGTTCTGGTCATGCGATTGCATTGTGAAAGAAACGGTGTGAAATCGACCAGAAAAGGTTGATCATCTAGCATATAAGAATTTGTGTATATTGCAAGGTTCTGGAATCATCAAAATGATAAGAAATTTGGCCAAGTCTTGGTAAAGTTAAAAACACTGTACACAAAAGATGTATATGGGACTACACGGACACGTGGCGTAAAAAACCTACCCCCCGAGTTTTACGAGTTACATGACATATTTAGTATATAAAGGCATTTGAAGAGCCATGCTTTTCAGGGAACATGTCTTATCTGATATTCTTCCACACTTGCATAATAAGAATGATAACGCTCACAGATTATTTTTCACCTCTTCCCAGAACTCAGCCTTCTCTTTAAGTCTGCTAATTGATCATGTTATCTGAACAATTATTAATATGAGAAAAGAGGATAACTAATAAGTGATATACAATGAATATAAGGAAATGTTCGTTATGTACACACAACTCAGAAATTCTCCATTGTCAGTATGACATGCTCACAGCTAGGTCACATGACTTTTAAATGGTACGTACGACTATACGACCAATTATTAAAAACTTTTGTCAAAATAAATGAAAGATTTGAAAAATATGGAGTGGTGTGAAATGCAGATAGGCAACAAAATATATGTCCTAGGGAGGGAGGGAAGGGTGTGGGTGCCTCAGAGGCTTTAAAGCTTATCAACACTAGTGTGGCTAGGAGGGATTAGACCACACAGCAAGGTCACTGACAGGTGGCTATCTCGTCAACTCAGCTCTCAAATAACATAATAAATAGAGGATCATGGGGAACCAACAGGCACCGATTGGGGAAGTTTTCTATATAGAGGGAGCAAGTAGCTACAAGTAGGACAATGGGGCTTTAAGGCTAAGTCCACTCCACAAATAATTGGCTTTTAAAGATGCAGAAAAACAAGAGAAACAGAGCTAAAAAAATTGAGTAAAATCAGATAACTAATAAGGATCAAAGTTATGAATTTATTAAAAACTATTAAAAACTATGGAACTTAGAAAATCACTGCACAAATTGCCAATTTGGTTATCAAATTATGACGTCATTGCCTCACTATTTATCAATTGCTTTATATATTTTTATCACATTAATTTCCCTTTTTATCCCCCTAACTTGATATCCCCATGCCTTTGCCCAGGTTATATGATTTCTATCATAGTGCGTGCATGACATTTCACAACATTTTTAATGAACTTTGAACAGTTTGTACTATTTTCAGAATATTGCATATTCATAATCATTGATTTGTATATAAATAGTTTATTCGCATTTTTCAGGATTTAACTGAAATCAAATAACTCTATATTAGTGCATCCACATAAAAACATATTACTATCAATATAACTTGGATGCTGGTGTGAGGAAGTAAGATTTTTAGGATGAAAAGTGGAAATTTATATTATCAATATAAAGAAAACAAGTAGTGGATAGTGAGGCAATGACGTCACAGACTCAATAGTGAGTTGCCACTCTGTCTTGTGATTTTCAAAGTTTTTCATGTCCGAAATTCATATCTTTCTTATTAGTTATCCGATTTTGCTCAAACTTTTTTGGATTGGTTTGCCTGATTTTTCTGCTTCTATTAAAATTAAGTTATTTTTGAGTGGAGTTGCCCTTTAAAAAACTATATGTCCCATTTGCAGGCCCCAAAAATGAAAAGGTTAAATTAAAACGGCATTTGAAAGATAATACTTATAATAATTACTTAATAATTTATAACTTCCCTTAAAACCAAAAGGCTTGAATATTTTTTATTGTGGGAAAATAACGATCGTTAGTTGAATTTAGCGATCGTGGTTGTTCAATTATATAGTCTCATTTTCAGACCCTTGTTCCAAATTGTTTTACGTTTTGTGCTGCCAAAAGATTCAATCAGTTTAATTTTGGCCAAAACAAGAAGTGGGCAATTGATGTGAGACAAATGCTCATGCATCTTTACAGCTCAGTTTATGTATGTTATTACCAAAGAAATTAAGTCAGTCGGTCACTCAATAGTGTCTGACAGTGAAGTTTAGAAAGTAAACGAGTTTCCTTGCACAATTTAAATACTAGGACACGTACTGCTAATCTTTAAATTTCACAAATAGGACATACATGACATACTCATGATTCCTGCAAAGTTTTACAGAATTTAATGTTGGCTGCAAAAAGTATACACTACCGTTAAAAGATTACAAGAGAAGACCAGGCTTAATTACATGAGTTTTTATAAAGATATTTACGAAGTCATTGCATGACCATAACTCCACTTTATCTTTTAAGAGATCGCCCAATTTCTGCATTCTCTAAAAAAAAGTTTGTTTATACGTTATAAGACGAAGTATGCAGCAGTTGAATGAAGTCAGGTTTGTTCATTTTTCAGAAAGATTAGGGTTAAGAGCCTATTTTCACTAATTACTATAAACATTCATAGCAAACCAACATTGCATATCTTGAAGATCCATTGTTTTTAACCTGGAATGATGTTTTGCATTTGTTTCATTCATGTAGGGTAATGGCAAGCCCAGAGAGGGAACAGCAGTACAGTCTGGAGACGGTGAGTGCAAGGAGGAAGTTAACGGACAAGTACTGTTATTGGGTGGAATGAGACATTTTGATGAAAATAAAAAGTATAAACATGTAAATTATGATGACATGACTAGTAAAATAATAGAAATAATAAATGAATTTGATGAAGCAATTCTCAACACAATAATATTTGGGTAAGTTTAGCCCAAAAAATGAAATGTCCGCGAAGGAAAGTAAAATCATTCGCACTTACTCTTAGAAAGTGTTGGACAAAAAATACAGGCAACATCCAAGGCCTTGTAGCAGAAAATCGAAAATTAGGTACATCCCAAAACAAATTGAGGCAAAAAACCAAGTCCTCTAAAAAAAAATGTTATATTGTAGGTGTAGAACTCCCCATGATAAAAGACAAAAATATATACTTTGCGACCTTTGCAGAGAATGGTATCACTTTAAATGTGTAGATATACCTCCAACCTTACGAAATGGGAAGGGCATTACCTTTTTTTGTGGAATCAATAATTGTAATAATGGTACTAGGTATTTCAGGGATTCCAGAAAAAAGAATAATAAATGTAAAACACCAAAGACAACTTTTTTTCAAACTAAGGTAACAAGGAAGAAGACAAAGACTGTCAAAGGGAAAGTTTCAATCCCTTCTAGTAGTTCAAAGAAAAAAATAATGAAAAAGAAGAGAAATGTGTGGTACATCTCGAACCCGAAAATGGTGATAGGGTCCAACAGCTAGGACAGCAAGAAATTAGCGTTACAAATAATACAATCTTCGATAAACATGTTACAGAACCAAAGTGCAATATATATGATGAAGAAGCAAATCATTTTCATGCTGCAAATCTCAGCAAAGAAACTATTGACGCCTTAGTGGGAAAATCTGTCACCCAACACATACATGGTAGTTTCTTTGAATGTGAGAAGCCAGAAAGTTTCACATTTACTTTTGATATACAAAAGTGGAATACATTAAATGAAACAAGAAAAAAGAAGAGATTTTCCAATCCAGATTGGAGAGAGTATGTTAATAGTGAAATAAGCAAATTAAATCCTCATTGTGTATTAAGGTTTAAGGATCATTATGTATCTCCTTCCACAGTATATTTTACTTGCAAAGGGGAATGTTCATTTACTGATTGCACTTTCTCATTTATTTTGCAAATGTCAGCATCATTCACCTGCTCTGTCCAGTGTATGGGTAATATAAAACATGACATACATGAAAGAAAAGCCAGAAAATTGTCTGGCCCCCTTAGACAACGGTATCGTGAAGAGTTTTCATTAGGTTCAAGCCCAATGAAGAAATATTGTACCCTGTTAAAAAATCAAAATGAAAAGACATTTATATCAGGTAACCGTACAGGAATAGGTGCTACTCGCAGTGTCCTGCAAAAAATTTCAAGCGAGTCCAAATTACAATATAGGAAAGGAAATACAGAATTGGAGAGTTTAGCAAATATGTGCAATATACAAGTAGATTCAAGAATTTGTGAAGATAATTTTCCATCATCTTTAAAATTTGTTAGACAAGTATCACTCACTTCTTCCGTTTTATGTTGTTAATTTTACTGAGGGAGGGGTCAGAACTTTCCATGATCTTAGCCCCAAGCAAACTATTTATATCGATGCTACTGGGTCCATAATTAAATCCACTCTCACAAAAAAACGGTTAGAATATTATGAATTGACCATAGCAAATCCGACACCAGGAAAATCCCCACTTCCCATTGCTTCCATGATTTCGAGTGATCACACGGTACCCACAATTTTAAACTTTTTTAATTTATTAAGGCATGCAGAGGGTAGGTATTGTGGTGGTACTCGAAACCTTTGTATCCCCAAACAAATTAATTCTGACAGAGCATGGGTCTTTATTTTAGCATCTATTAAAGTTTTCAATGGGGAAAGTTATCATGGGTACTTAAATAGGTGCTATAAAATAATTACTGGAAATGGAAGCGAAGATGATATTACAAAAACTGTTGTACATGCATGCACCGCGCATGTTATGAAGGATGTCAAAAAAGTATGCCAAGAATGTTATGCCAATAGAATACAAAAAGGCATGTACATGTTCAGTTTACTACTTAATTCATGGACGTGGAGTGAATTTATGGATGCACTAAAAAACATAATTATTGTAACAATGAGTCCCAAAGAGACACCTCAGGTGAAAGAAGCATTGTCTGTTTTGGAGCAGAAAATAAATAGAATAGGAGAAGATCTCAAAGAAACAGTGAATAGTACCTTTGATTTGCCAACTAATGAAAATGAACCTCAAGAAGAAGTCACCAAGTTGACTGAAGAAGAAAATTTGACAAAAACAAAGTCTCCAATTATGACATTCCTGGATAATTTTATCAGAGAGGAATTAAGCAAAATAGAATGTTTACCGTCGATTACCTTTCCAGATAACAGTTATTATTCATCCCAGTTTTGGTTTAAAATAAAAACTCAATACCTCCCATCCACTCCACTCTGGTCCATGTTAATGTTAGGTAATCTTAAACGTCATAAAGACCAAACCGTCCAGTCATACATGAATATCCCTTTGGTGCAAAGGACAACTGGGATTTCTGAACAAAGAATGCATGTTTTGAAACATATTCAACTAAAAAAGAAGCAAAAGTTAAGAACAGATGAACTAATTTCGATACTCCATGAAGATGTACAAGGCATGGAACGCCAGTTTGTTGACATCTACTACCGAGGCGTCTCAACACCGACAAAACCGGTTAAGGAAGTTTGGCGGAAAAAGGGGAAAGCTTTTAAAAGAAAAGCATCCTATCAGAAAGCACCCAGAATTACATTTTCATTTTCAAAAAATATAGAGCCCCCCAAAATACAGCACAAAGAAAAAAACTAGTAGAGCAATTATGTACAACTCCGTTCCCAGTGAGATTACTTCCAATGAAAAATTTCAAAAACAACTGTTGGTTTAATGCCATTAACCAATTGATAGTGACAACTCAAGAAGTGAAGAATATGTTTGTCAAATCAAATGGCCCCACAGAAACGACCACTATGGCCAAAGGACAAGATTCCATCCTGGTTGATAAAATACATTCTCTTTACAAAGAAGTGCATGATAATTCTAACATAGACTGTCTCGATGATAAGATTATCAAACCTGCTTTACGTGCTGCACTTAAAGCACTCGGAGAGCAGGACAACCAACAGGTAGATGCTCATGAATATGTTACAAAACTTGCAGCAACATACCTCAAAGTGAAAGGGATAGATACAGATATAACAATTCAAGAATCTGAAGAGTGCCTTGATTGCTATAAGAGTAAGACCCAGACTGTGATTACCTCAACTTTACTTGTTTCATTGCCATTCAATTTTAAACTACCACTCCTTAAGTTTTCTCTGCAACAGCTTATTTCTCGTCTAACAGCAATCCAGACCCAGAATAGTATCGGTATATGTAGTAACAGTTCTCATACATGCAAAACTAAAAAGAACATAACGTCTCTCCCACTCCTTCTTTTGGTCAATATTGTCAGATCAATGTTTGTTACTGAGATTCAACAAACTGTAAAGGTACGCAATGTAGTTGACATTCCAGAGTATATGACTGTAAACCATGTAAGATATCGACTACATGGTGTAGTTTACCACCATGGTGAACATACAGACAGTGGGCACTATACTGCTACAATATTTCACCCATCAGATGATGTAACTGTCCATTTAGATGATACAGTGATTAGGCCAAACATCTCACGTGAAGTCCACAAAGGAGATGCATATGTTTTAGCCTATACGAAAATACACTCAACATATTTACCATCTATAGAAGACTTGAGTAGATTGATGTGCATTATAAATAGCACAAAGGGGGGAAAAGCAGTGCACATGAAGCAAGAAAACAGAACTGTGTCACAGTTATGGTCAAATATCCACAAACTGTATGATTCATTAAATGTTACAGATAAGGAATGTAGGCCTACTTTATTTGGCTTAGTCCAAAGTGTGTTGTCTAAGGCTGACCACTGCTTTGGTACTGTGTATGCCATGTCTTCATTTTGCAATCACTGTAGTAACCCAGCAGTGTGGAAATATAGGAAGTTCATCATTACACAGCTAAATGATATAAACTCCGATAGTTTTGCTAAAGTGATACCATTACATGAATCAGAATTACATAATTTGATTTCATGTAAGCATTGCAACAGTGACAGGGTTATAGCACCAGCACCTTATCCTGTTTTTCTTCCCCCTACATTAGCATTAGCAGCTTGTAATCCTGAAGAAATTGAGACAACTTTGTCTATAAAACAAAATGGGATCATGGGTATGAATCCAGTTGTTCATTATAATTTATCTTATCTCATCTTACAACACAATGATCATTCAATTGATTTGTATACAATCACAGATGGTGAAGTGATGAACATGGCTGTTACTTCTTCAGGTTTGGAATCCCCAATTCAGATGGGAGAATTACAAGCAGAGTGCAAAAAAGGTGTTAGTGTAATTGCTTTCTTTGACAGGATTGAACCTGACTTGACGAATAATGTAACATTGTATCACTCCATCGGCACAAATAGGGTTGAAGAACATGTTTCAAATACCAACATTCAGCAATACTGTAACGCTAGTCCAGAAATGCAATCTTTTGTCAACAATCACAAACAAGATATTCGAATAGAGAAGGAAATTGTGGAACGCCGGTCAGTCGAAATGCTTTTGACAAACAAGTGGGTAAATGACCAAGTGATAAACACTTACATGACTTTAATTTTTCAAAACAGTCCAAAGTTTGGTTTTCTTGATTCCTTCACTGTTCCTCGATTTAACAGGCCTATTGAAGAGATTGCTGTTACTGCAATCCGCAACAGAAATGTCAGAGACAAAATATTTAACAAAGAAGTTTTAGTAATGCCAATAAACCATAATGAACAACACTGGCTTCTTTTGGTAGCATATCCTCGCCTTCATCATATAAACTTATATGATTCACTTGGAAGACAAGTAAGTTCATACAATGTTTTATTAGACCGTGCTACCAAAATAATTTCCATGCATCTTTCAGCCATAGACCCTTCTCTTCCATATGATTCCCATGACTGGACCATATTTTCTCCCTCACTGCTCCGAACATTTCCCCAACAAACTGACTCAATAAATTGTGGGGTATTCATTGCCCTCTTTGCAAAATGTTTAGCAATGGACGCTAATTTTGAGTTTCCTACAACAACTACTTTTATGGAAAATGTGCGCTATACCATCGCATATGAATTAGTTACTGCTTGTGTTCTGGGTAAAAAAAAAGATGAATCACAAGGAGAAGGTGCAACAGGAAATAGACCAAATGTTCCAACTTATGAAGAAGCAATGAGAATGAAAAACAATGTAACGGATCATAATAATCATAGGCAGCATATTGTAAATGACCACTCTTATTACTTGAATATTCAGTATGAATTGCAACCTGATCAGGATGAAGGTCCATCCACAATTGAAAATGAAAGTTCTTATGACCTTTCATCTCATGAATGTCCACAACTTCCACTTGAAATGTGGGATAAAATTATGCGTATCACTTTACGATCCGACTACTCTCAGATATATAAATTTATAAGACTCAATTCAATATTTAGATCTTTAGCATCTAGATATCTCAAAAAAATTCATATATCTCCTGGGCTTGCAGAAAAGACAATCAACGCAGCAGGATGGTTGAGTGTGGAAGTAATGAAAAATACCACGGGGATGTGGAACTATTATCAAATAGTCCGTACCCTCATATCGAACCATCCCGATTGGGAAACGGCCTATATAAATTTGGTGGACTGTGATGACTATTACAACCCTGACTGGTATTTTATTAAGGATATTTGCTGGGTGTAAGTTTTGGTCAACAATTCAGAGAATAACAAAGTATTAATTGAATATATTCCCTCAATGAATGTCAGAATAATCATCGATTATTCTATTAATGTATCAAAATACAAAAATACATTGTGGGTATGAGGCTTTGATAGCCAAATACCCGCCAAATACGCCTCGGGTACCCATTTTAAGGGCCCAAATATAACATATACGTAACACTAATAAGGGATTCCTTGAACAATAAATAATATCTCACTGCTCTGTTCCAATTTTTTTGATATTTCCAATGATAATGAGGATAATAATGGACCTGGTACTTTTGAAAGTACATGCAATTCAGTGATACATTTAATAGTAAATTTTAATCTTATAAGGAAAATAATGTTCTTTCAACGTTTCATTTAAACAGTCAAAGTTTGGCGTCCAAATATGAGCTTTCAGGATTATATTTAGAGTTTACACCATACATTTTCAATATATGCATTTTCAGAAACGTGGTTCAGGCAAAATGTTCCATCTATGCCATTATGTATAGGATACTCTTTTTTACACAAAACATGAAAAACTCGATTAGGTGGAGGAGATTGCTCATAAACTTCAATTACAAAGAAAGACCAGATATTTCATTTGGAAATAACGATATTGATTAATTATTTATAGAGCTACAGCTTAATTCTAAGAAAAAATTGATTGTTGGTGTAATATACAAAGCTTCAAACTGATGGAAAATCTGTTAACGATTTATTATATAAATGTTTGTCAGCTATTTTTAAAGAAAATAATACTGTCATATACTTCGCGACTTATTTTGAGACATTCTTCTCACTCTCAAATTGGTAACTTTTTAAGTGTCATGTATTCTAATGATTTTCAACCATTGATTACCAAGCCCACATGTGTTACGGCGTCATGCTGTACATTTATTGATAACATATTTAATAATGTTCTGGACAAAACAGTTTATACTGGAGTCTTTTATTGTGACGTTCACCTCCCTATTTGTCGGTTGACAGAATTTGTCCGGCGTATGCAGGATTGTACTTGAATTAAATTAAATTATGAAAACGTTTCCAGGGATTTAAGTCTAAAGAATTGGCTTTGTCAATGTAATGTAATGATACAAACTCGGCATAATTATGAAGCATTTTTACATACACTGCCTTGGATATTTTAATTGTCTTCCTTTTATATGTATACACCTGCGTGTTAACGATAGCTGCCCTTAAGCTTTCACAGGATTTGAGCGTGTACACACATCTGTATGATATTATTTGTATTTAAAATACATCCTTTCAATTTTTATGAACAAATTGATGATTGTATTCCTTCAAAGATTTGTTATCTTTCATTACAATGATTTAGCACTTAAACTTTTCTCTTTTCTTTTCTTTTAGAAATGTAAAAAAAGTTACATGATACTGTATTATTTTTGTTGTATATGTAAATACAAAACAAACAAGTTTTACATTCATATGCAATAACCATTTTTTTTTTAATCTTGCCAAAGAATGGAACTAGGCTCGACTAGCACTTGTGCTAACTTTTAGTTCCCATTAACAACTTTACCTTAATATTAGTAATACACGTATTTACGTGTGTATGTTTTGTACATTTTAATAGTATGAAGAGCTATGTCTAGATATCGTTTTAAAGCCATTACTGTTCAATCATCATTACTCTTCTGTTATGTGTATTTATATGTGAAATGACTTCTTGTGGAATTCAATAACATGTTGTATGACCGATTATATATTTATTTTGATCACTTACGTACACGCCTCAGCTGTTGCTAGGTACCATCTGTATATTCCCCAGGACAATGCTGTCGGATGAAGGTGTTGTTTGTTGAAGTTTGCTTGTTTTTAATGATATGTATCCGCTGTCTATTTTAGAATTGTAGTACTTTGTTATTTTCATGATGTAATCGCAGACACATGCACAGACCAATTGAGTTAACTTTCTCTTTATAAGTGAACATGCCCTCCTATAATTAATTCTCTTCTCATATTGTTCTCTTCTCATTTTGTTCTCTTCTCATTTTGTTCTCTTCCATTTACTATCTTTTCTTTCCTATCAACGTTCTGTTATATAATTATGTAATAAATAATGTTCTTATTATGGGCGTTCCCAACTCAGCCTATGCTTTCCGGGTTTTCGCCTCCTTCCGTATCTGAATTATTTACTGTATACTCTATGTTGAAATCATTGTTGCATATATATTTTATATAAACATTGTATTTCATATTGTACTGTTGAGAAGAAAATAAATGTTAATAAATACAAAATACAAATATCAGTATTATTCTTTGCATTGTATGATTGTTCATATGTTTTGTCATCGTTTTGATGTGTTGTTCTTAATAAATTCAAATGTAAAAAGTCACAAATGTTAATGCATTATTTCAACGGAAAAAATCAGAGATATGAAAACAAAACCATGCATAACTCAAGATATTTTATGTTCTATAAATGAGAAGCAGAAATTATTCCGGAATATATTTAAAAAAAAAAAGATCTTTATGTACCATTATATGGACAATGTTACTACCCGTGTTTGATAAATACCTCCCCCCAAAAAAATAAATAAAAAATAAATAAAAAATAAAAAAAAATAAAAAAATCCAACAAATCTTGCCATATTCACGTTTCAATTTAAGAAAAGTAAATTGTATGAAACAAAAAGGAGATAAATAGAACAATATTGAAAACTCAATTAAAAATGCAAGCACTCTAAATTCTATCAAAACGAAATATAAGTTGCGTTTTCTTTTCACATAATTATAAATGACTGCCATGATACATACAATTACCATATAAATTATGTCGTTCTGTATTGTTTTAGTTTGTAATGTCTTGTTAACGTCTTGCATTTTGTTATATTGTGAAATTTTAATGGGTTTTACGCATTAAATTAAGGTCGGATGAGCCATGCCCATAGGCGCCGGAAGTGGGGGGCAGGGTGTGGGCGCTGCCCCCCCTAAAAAAAATATATAATAACAAAACAAAACAAAATTAAAATGAAAAAAATGGGGGGGGGGGGGCAAAACGCGTTTTCGCCCCCCCCCGAAAGTCTCTTCATGGAAAAAAAATCAGCAATAAAGCCGGAGGTACTCAATTATCAAGACATACGGGGGTATGCCGCTCTAATGGGTCACTTTTTCACCCAAAATCGCTAAATATGGATTCGTCTTTGGGCTCTTCTTCGAAAAAAATCACCCAAATGACCCTTTTAAATGGGAAGGGGTTTCGAGGCTTGAGCGGCACACCCCCGTCCAAATCTAATATGAGTACACCCCCCCCCCCCCTCTAAAGGAGTAAAAATTGTTTGTATTTTTTAACCCCAAAAAAATAAAAAAAATAATAATACCTGAATTTAATCACATAAAAGTTATATTCCATTCAAAGAAAAGGAAAGTAAACAGGTATTAAAAAATTTCAAAGCATTCTGCATTCCCCTTTATTTATAAATGAAGGACTATATATATCGTGGAAATATTGTGAGAGGATGGGAAAGCGTGTGTATATTTTTATTATAGGGTCGATAAGACATGAGGCCCTATGCACTGGCGTACTGATTTTTCTCATTTTTGGGGTAAATTATGCGTTTTTATGCTTCTGTTTGAAAATTTCATATTGCCTAACATACAGTCAGGAAAAAAAATATGCCTATCGAAAAGCCTACATGTCAGGGCCTGCAGAACGGGGGGCTCGGGGCTCGAGCCCCCCCCCCCCCACCCCACACTTAAACAAAAGTAGGTTAAAAAGAAAAAGAAACAAAGAGAGAAACTAAGAATAAATGACCTGCCAGTGTCACAAAAAGCCTCTGAGCTTCCGGGAGCTCGGCCCCTGGAGGAGGGACCCGGATGCTCATCTGATCGTCATTAAATGCCTTAAATCTCTGAGCTTCATGGGGCTCGGCCCCCTGGACTACCCGCCATTAAGTGACCTGCCAGTGTCACAAATAAGGTATCTGAATATGCTTATCTGACCGTAATGTTAGGCCTAAAAACCCTGAGCTTCCGGTGGATCCGTCCCCTGACCCTCGCCAGAGCGAGGCCACAAGCCTATGCAGGCTCGGGTCATTTCGCTCGCTACGCTCTACCGGATCATTAATACTCCACTCTGAAAAACATTCCGCGGGGCCTGCATGTAACATGTAAGAGTGGTGGTGATGCATATTTTTCTTCTGCCCCCTAACGTTTTCGCTCATTCGACGCCTGGAAGGTGAGCCCCTCCCCCTGGAATGTTTGCCCCCCCCCCCAATCCCAAAGTTCTTCCGGCGCGCCCGGCCATGCCCGCAAACTCAAGGGTATAAGACATTAAATTACGGTCAGATGGGCAAATTTGGATACCTTATTTGTACCACTGTCCAATAGTTGGCGTGGAGTCCAGGGGGCAGAGCCTCTAGAAGCTCAGGGGTTTTAGGCATAAAAATAAAGTATGGTCAGTTGAGCATATTTTGATACTTCATTTGTTATATTGGCAGGTCACCTTTCTTACTTTCTATTTTCTTTAACATACTTTTTCAAAAAAGTGAGGGGGGGGGGGGGGCTCGAGTCCCCAGGCACCGCTGTTCTGCGGACCCTGACATGTAGGCTTCGAAATAAGCATACTTTGCGCCTGACTGTACATTTGGGAATTTGTCATTTTCCAACAAACGCATAGAAAGTTTCGGCAACATTAATATTGTAAATCACTATAGTATAAATTGAAAATAAACCTCAATTGAATTTTATTTGAGACAACTGCCCCCAAGGCCTCCCCCCCCCCCCTCCCCCCATCAGTACGCAAGTGTGTATGTCCTTGTATATTTCGTTTCTTCCAAAATACAGACCAGGGGCCCCGTCTTATTGAGAGTTGTGATTAGTTAAATCAATCGCAAGTCCTCCAAACAATCGCAATTCCAACCACTCTTCTGCAAGGTTCTAGATTGCATAAAAGTCAAAAGGTTCTTGGTGTCTATTACCTGTAAATCCTGGCAAAGGCTATGCCCCTTATTCCCGTCATAAAAGTCTATGACGGGAATAAGGGGCATAGCCTTTGCCGGGATTTAGGCCCCTGGACCCTACCTGTTAGATTACAAGTGGTTCCCAAGACAACCCTTTATTCTATACAATTATCTTCATGAGAGCATAATTATGGTTGTGAGAGAGACCGAGAGAGAAAAATAATCCGGTAGGGCCAGTTTTTATGGATAGATTTCTATCGCTCAAGACGACTATCTTAAAGGTTCTGAATTGCTAATACTCAAGAGCAATAGCGGTACCGCCCGAAGACCCCTCCCGGAAAGGTTTTAGAGTACCTTGAGATCACACATCTTTGTCCCGTTAGGGATGGGTTTAGCAATTATTTTTTTTAATTTCGAAATGGGTAGGGAGATTTTCTAAATTTTCCTGGGAGAGCCGCCCCCAATTTCACTTGAACCGAAAACCCTGCATTTTGTTGCAAAACCTAGACGCTCTATTGGCAATCTATACCACTCGTGACGGCTATCGGGAAAGGTTATGAATTGTTATAACCGGGGGCTTCGCTCTCGGACCCCCAGAAGGGGCTGCAACACTCCATGGGGCTC